GGAACTGTTACTTTTTTGAGGAACAGGAACAATTGTGACTGTTCCATTTTAGAAACAGTTCCAAATAACAGTGATTCTGGAACAATTTGTTCTTGCGTTTCCTAGGAAGAACACTTTCATCCCGTATACCTACTATGCGGCTTTGCTACAGATAAAACTGTTATTTGTTCTTTACGTACTCGTTAGCGTTACGTTACGATTTTGGTCTTCGGATTTTGCCTTCGGAATCTGAAATTGTTACTTAAGATTTTGTTTTATCTATATTAATAAAAATGAATCATCGAAATGTATGTACGCCCATAACTTGAAAACGGCCGCACCGAATTGCACGATTCTTTTTTTTACGTGTTCCTTATCGTCAGGAGAAGGTTTATATGTAAGAATATTTATAAAAAATGAGACGGCTAAAAGATAAAAAAAAAATAAAAATTTTGTACGGGAATCGCCACTTGGAATGAATTTGAATAGTTGGCCATTCCTGACGGACCTGTCGCCTAACTGACGTGTCATACAAAACTATTTCTTCCGTGCGATTGTGAAAAGTATTATTGCATTTCAAGTCGTTGTTTGTTTTTTCGTAACAAAAACCGTCGTTTATTTCAAGAAAAGTGTTCGTTAAAGTGAATTCAGTTACGCATTGCGAAAGTTTCTTATTAATTTTGATCTGCCATTCTATTTACCTATGTTCACTGTGTTGGTTTCGACAAAACCTCAAACTTTAATTCGAGGAGTTGATTTGAAGTTTTCAGTATTTTAAAATTCTCAAGACAAAATTTACAGATTTGATTGACTGCGAAAATAATTCTGTGTCGTTTTATGAAGTTCATTACAACGCCGAGAAGACGACAAGCTGACATAGGTCCACGAAGTCAATGAAATGTGCGACGAACTACCTCAGGTACAAATCGCAATGATTTATTTCATGGGTAATTCGGATACGGAAGTTGATCAGCGTCGTGCTCATAATCAACATAATAGTCAAACATTGAAGCGAGACATTGGGTGGTATGAATAAAACTGAGTAGATACTCATATTCTAAGTACGAAGTACCTAGAAAGAGTAATAATCTTATATACCTGAGCATCTACTCTATGTAGTGAGTACCTACTTGGAAACATTGTATCTCCCCGGACACAAATTGAACATCTACGCGTTTTGTAAGCATTTAATGTAAAAATGAGCATCGGCGTGGCAAATAATTGAGCTGTCTGTAAAGCAGCTTAGAAAACGAGCAGGATCGTTGTAAGAGTGAGTTTTGACTAAATATGGGGACTTTCATGAACGTGGAACGTCGCCAAAAAGTGCATTCAGTTTGAAGAACACGTTAAGAGCGGGAATATCGAAAACTTTTCAGGTAATTAACTTTTATTTATGCATAAATTGTGCAGTGCGTTTTTTCTTTCACTGGTCATAGAGATTCCCATCTCAAGGTGTCTACCCCATACTAACTTATATTTTGGTGACTCGATTTTTGCCTTGATGGTTGAACACTGTCACTGTTTTCCTTTTTTGTTGTATCGAGATGCTACTTGAGCATCAACTGGTACTGAGTTTAGACAGTACTTCCCTGGCTGTCGGAAACGTAACGACTGCATGTCTATTATGTTTTTTTTTTCGCAGTGGATTTCAAAGCATTCGGTTTTGTAGTTCCTGAGTAAACTAATAAAATAAATTTACGCATTCATTATTTTTTTTGAGTCACTCGGTATATGCAAATTCAAAAAATGTGAATGGAATGATAAATTACAAGTACAGACTCATCATATTTTGTATATTCTAGATAGGATTTATTCGGCAAACTTTTGAGCTGACGTCATCAGTTTTTTGGAGAAGATAACCACATATATTTTGACTAAAAATTTATTATGCTCTTTATAACCTTAACACATTTGCAAGATTTCAAAACATTCGGTTCTGTAGTTCCTGATTAAATCAATAAAATATATTTACGCATTCATTAATTTTTTTGGGTCACCCTGTATATGCAAATCCAAAAAATATGATTGGAATGATAAATCACAAGTACAGACTCATCATATTTTGTACATTTTAGATAGGATTTATTCAGCAAAATATTGGAGTGACGTCATCAATTTTTTAGGGGGGAAGAGCAAATACATTTTGATAAAAAATTTACCATGCTTATGATAACTTTAAAACATCTCCAAGATTTCAAAGCATTCGGTTTTGTAATTCTTGAGTAAATCAGTAAAATACATTTACTTATTCATTAATTTTTTTGAGTCACCCTGTATATGCAAATCCAAAAAAGATGAATGGAGTGATATATCACAAGTACATACACATCATATTTTGGACATTTTAGATGGGATTTATTCGGCAAACTTTTGAACTGACGTCATCAAGTTTTTGGAGGGGATAACCAAATATATTTTGACTAAAGATTTATGATGCTCTTTATAGCCTTAAAACATCTGCAACATTTCAAAACATTCGGGTTAGCAGATTCAAAATGTTGTTTTATAATTTTGATTTTTTTTTCAAAAATCTGGACGTTTCGGGTAAAAACTCAATTCGGAGTCGTAAAACACTATGTTATTTTATACAATTTAAAAGCGATTTACTATGTACAATTTTGAAGTGACGTCATCGCATTAGTGGTGGGGCTGATTAGACAAATTTTGGTTAGCGTTTTACCATCTACATGATATTCCTAATATAAGTACAAAATTTCACAACAATCGGTCCAGTACTTTCGGAGATTAACTGTCTAATAAAAATCCGGGATGGCAGACAGACGGACAGACGGACAGACAGACGGAAATGGGAGACCTATTTCTTCGTCTTCCAGGAATCATGAAAGATCGAGAAAAGGTAAAAGTAGAGAGTCGGCCGACGGACTCGAGTACAATACTTCCTTTGCTTACGCTCGGGAAGTAAAATATGAATGCAATGATAAATTACGAAAATATACTGATGATATTTTGCACATTTTAGATAGGATTTATTCGGCAAAATTTTGAGATGACGTCATCAAGTTTTTGGGCTTGATGAACAGATATATTTTGAAAAGCTACCATGCTTACAGTAACTTCAAAACGTCTGCAATATTTCAAAATATTCAGTTTTGCAATTCTTGATTCAGTCAATAAAATAAATTGACCCAGTGTTTAATTGTTTTGGGACACCCCGTTTAAGCAAAACTAAAAAAATATTAATGCAGTGATAAATCACAATTAAAAACTCATTATATTTTGCACATTTCAGATAGGATTTATTCAGCAAAATTGTCAGGTGACGTCATCAATTTTTTAGGAAGAATGAACAAATACATTTTAATCAAAAAATTACCATGCTTACGATAACATTAAAGCATCTCCAAAATTTCAGAACATTCGGTTTTGCAGTTCCTGATTAAATCAATAAAATTAATTCACCCATTCATTAATTGTTTTGAGTCACCCTATAGAAGCAAATCTAAAAAATATGAATGGAATAATAAATCACAAGTATAGATTCATCCTATTTTGGACATTTTAGATAGGATTCATTTGGCAAATTTTGGGCTGACGTCATCAATTTTTTGGAGAGGATAAGTAAATATATTTTGAATAAAAATTTATTATGCTTATCATATGTTTAAAACATCTGCAAGTTTTCAAAGCATTCGGTTTTGCAGATTCAAAATTAAATTGTAGGTGAAACGAAGTTCACCGGGTCAGCTAGTTTAATATAAAGATTTAATAATTTTTATTTATAACCAACACAGCCTGTAAGAGAAAATTGACGTTCTTATATCTTGTTTCTTGTTGCTGTTATCTAATTTCTTAGTTTACTATTTAATTGGAAAAAAACAAAATTAAAAAATATATATATTAAATCTTGAATATATAAATTATTGTATCACTGCATCCGAATACAACAGTGCCTTTATTAAATAAAATTCTTTATTCCAAATAATTCTCTATTTTTTACCTTTCTGCTTATATGTACTATTATTTATTGTATTTATATATTATATGTTCATTTTATTCAAATATGTATAAACTTTTTATTTATAATTTGCATTTTGTGTTCATTTATAAATTTTTATATTATACTCCTACTTTACAATAAAAATATTAATTAACTGTTCAAATTTAATAATTTCACAAAATCGCCAAAAACGATATTCATTTGTTACCGTTCGCGATATTTCGGCACCCATCGTTACGTTTCGCTTTCGCAGCTGATTTAATTTCCAACCCGTATAAACGTTATTATTCTGTATTAATCTGTTCTCGTTTCGGTTCCAACATCGCAAATCGCTAGTGTCGTCTCCATCTGTGTTATTTATCGGTGGCCAAGGAAGAACACTAACAATAGATATTTATTTTATTAGGAGTTTAAGTGATACTTTATGTGGCGAGTATGGACGATTAAACGCCGAGCGATAGCGAGGCGAATTAAGTCCATACGAGTCACATGAAGTCACTTAAACTCCGAATGAAATGCAATATTTTATTTTCAAACGATTAATCTTCTTTTGAAATGATTATTTCCTATCTTCTTGCTTCATTAAGAAATTGCCTTGATTTCACTTACCATGGTTACTATGGTTGACAATCACTATGATTTTCACATATTTATACTCCGGCGGAGTATAAATGTTTTATTTATACGCCGGCGGAGTATAAGTTCTATTTATACGCCGCTCAAAAACGCTGTCATAGAAATGACACTTAAACCCCGGTAAGAACGTCATATAAGTGTCAGTTATATGACGTTTGAAATAGTTATTTATGTACCAAGGGCACAAAAAAAATGTTTATATTCGAGGGCAACGTTTACAAAATCGAGGGCCTCTGGCCCGAGATTTTGTAAGTTGCCCGAGATTTATAAACATTAAGTTGTGCCCGTGGTGCATACAAACTTTTATTTTTCATGAGAAAATCTAAAAAAAACACTAATTTATATAATTAATTAAAAAAAAAAAAATTTACGTGGCGTTGATTTTTGTTGTCACGGAGATTCTATGTTTATTACAAACACGGCGTCTATTCACGGTGTCAACACGTATATTTTCGACCGCGGAAATGAATGAGGAAAATTGTGAAATTCCAGAAAACATTGTGAAGAAAGCGCAAAAAGCCAATGAAAATGTGTTACCTGGAACATCAGGATCCATATATGAAAAAGAATACAAAATTTTCCTTAATTGGAAGATTAAGAAGTGGCTTACTTCCAAGAATTGGTGAGTTATTCTGTTTATAAAATAAGTATTTAACTGTGTTCTTCATTTTTAGTCAGAAAAATATTCACCCAGTTCCTTATGGTGAAAATACTCGATGGTCAAGACAACTTTAAGAGTAAACGACAACATAGACATTTCTAATTATCATGGTTTGACATATTTCTATAAAAAACCCAAAAGGTTATGTGGCAAAAAAATCCCGAGTTTTGACTGGCGAACAAGTCATGCAATTTGTAAAAGATGCTTCCGACAACAGATATTTACTTCAGAAGGTAAACTACGCTATTTTTTGATGATTGTAATTAATTTAAATACGAATGTTTTATGCAGTAAAGGTAGTTGGAGGATGAGTGAACACAATTCAAGATTTTTATATAATACGTTATTCGGTGCTAGCAGAATGGAAGCAGAGGCAGAAATAATTCCAATAGAGGCACCTCCGAAAAGTTTAAGTTTACCTGAATAAATAAGTAGTTAAAAATAAACAATATTTTTTTTAATTTTTGTTTAATTCGGTTTAGCAAAAGAGGGCATAATGAGAGGGCATAATAACTCTTTATGCCCGCTCATTGTGCCCCGGATATAAGATGCCGCTTCACGTTTATCAAATCATGGATATAAAACAAACATTATATACGAGTGAAAAATAAATAAAATTATTTATTTGGGTGTAGGCCCATTTCCTTGGAAATGGATAGCTAAGTTAAATTGCAATCAGGGAGAGGTAATAAGTAAAATGTGGTCTTCGTTTAACAAGTGTATTAAATATAAATTCAAACAGAATTAATAGTTAAAATTGTAAGTCCCAGGCAAAGGTTAAATATAATTGCACTCTTAAGACTACGAAACCAAAAATCGTAATTTGACGCGTCCGCTAAATAATAATCTCTACTTGATAATACAAAACTAAAATAATTACTCTTCACTTCAATTATTTAGATATATGGTAATCAACAGTTGCTACAAAAGGGCCAAATATCTACGTCTCCTTAAAGTTATTTAAAACGAAAACGCTATTCGAAATATCCTTAAATAATCTTTTCCTATCCCTGATCAATAAAATATTAGCACAAAACTTAAATTAAATGTCAGTGAATAATTGCAAGTATGACGATAAATAGGTAGGACATGGACGTATGAGGTCCAATCTTCGAATGGTACTTTTCACAAGGATCATACCTTATTACCCTAAGTTACAATAATAAAATTTGGGATGATTAGAATCTATACAAATTAAAATAATAATAAAAAAAAACTATTATAATATTAGGAAAAGAATTTTCCGGACCTTAAAACAAGAGTAAAAATGAAAATACTAATTTAACATTACTATGTGATTATTAATTAATTATGGCAAGTCTTAAAGTCTTATTAAAGTACACGGGTCATTCGTCATTTCATTAATGGCGTTTGCATTTAAGCGACAAAATAGTAACCAATCTCTCAGATAATTCCTCAGTTCTTAATTAATAAACGTTCGCCCTCTTGATGACAGTACCTAATGGACCATTCGGAGGTTCAGGTTAATCACACATCAGTCGATTATTATCGAAGAAGACACAAAAGCAAGATAACACATGCATGACGGTTTAAATTTGGAATCTTAACTTACTGAAAACCATGGAACTTTTCTAAGTCTTCGTTCGCAATTTCGGACAAAGGACACTCAGCTGGACAAGGCTTCAACACGGCATTACTTGGGTATTGCTCGTCGTAGGTATTTCTCGTCTTCGTGGCACACTGGATTCGACTTCCTCTTTACTCTCGATTTTGTGACCTTTTATACGGCGTTTTTCTCATTAATTATGTCGTTGGTGGCATCTTTATGAGTGCACGCGTTGCATCGTGGTATTCGTATTTGGGTCAGTTGATAAAAATGCACTCCTTTTGGGCTTTATTTAGAGGTTTTATAAGTCTTAGTTTCGTTGTTCCGGGAATTTGGTCAGACTGATAAGTCGCAAAATAGATTGATGGTAATGCGTGAGATTTGGTTTGTTTTATGCTTCTTTTATCTTGCGTTGCGTTATTGTGTAACGCCTATGTGCCTTATTTACTGGTTGACTAAAGTTATATTTTGTTTGTATGCGGAAGCCTTTGGTAGTTAATTTGGTGTGATTTATTTGGTGTTGGTTCCTCTGTGTTTTTAATTGAATGTCGTTAGTATCACGTGCAAACGTTGTGGATTCTTCTTTGTCTTGTTATCATGTTAACGTCACGTGCTGTCACCATCTTGGAACTTTTGCTTGGGTGTGGTATTTAGCTAGGGTTGACTGCGTGAGTGCTTCTCAATGGTGTGCGAATATAGGTTTGCAATTATCTGGTGGTTGGGTAATACATACGCGATTGGACATGCGCAATTTGCTTGCTTTTTGCGAATATGCGAATTTAGTCTTTGAGTTAGAGAATTATGTTCTGAAGTTTTCTTATTGCGGTATTTTGCGGTTTCTTCTCAAGGGTGGACCGTCACAACACTCCCTTGCAAAAAGTAAACTGCGAGCTTTTAAATGTTCGTAGTTTACTCTCAAGTCTCCGTTTCTATTGAATCGCGGCTGTCACTGTTAGCAAAACTTTTGATCTTCTTTGATCATTTAATCATTAAGAGATGTGAAAAGTTGTGCCAACTATTACTTAATATTATAATATTACAATCTTCGTAAATTATTACCGGGATGCTGGTGCCTGTGATGGTTCTTTAAGGGATGCTTGGAACTTCCTGGCTCAACTCTGGAATTTTGGTTTCACTTTCGCGTTCGATGGAAGAGGTGGTTGGTACTTCAATGACTTCAGTTTTCCGAGGGACTAGGCCTTGGTGTATGGGTACGTTGGAGTACGTATGGAAGGGGTGCAACATATCGTCGTTCGAACTACTTGTAGGTTTGATTTGTTGTGAACTCTTCTGAATGTTATTTGATTGTTGTAAGCTTGCATATACTTGGGTTTCTTTGAAGTCGTTAGTGGCCATGTTGTTCTGAATTCGTATGGTTGGTTTAGGAAAGTCATAGATGACTGATGTTCCATTGTTCTCCATGTACACTGGATTTTCCTTGTAGTTGGAACGCCAGGTTATGTTGGATGGAGTTCGTGTTAGGGTTTTTGCTTCCAGAAAGGTCGGTGTCTCCGTTCGGGTTGGAATGTGTTTGATGGTTGAGTTGCTGTGTTTGGAAGAACCACGGTACAAGTTGATCATGTAACATAAGAGTAGGTTAATTATGATCAAACCGAATACAATGATTAAGATGTCGCTGTATTGCTCCAGTTCTTTAAGTAATAATGATGGTTGACATCTGGGTTGGTACGTTAGGGTTTGTGACTTCTCAAAACGAGCTTCATCTGGGTTGTACTGCATGAGACTTATTGCTTGTCGTTCTCCGCAGTTCATGGGGAGGAGAATAGAGGTCATTATCGTTGATATATTGCTAATGGTATTTGTTTCGTGACTCCTCCAACGAATTGGACTACTACTGTTTCTTGCAGTGTGCCACTTCAAGTTATAGAGCTGTGGATTGTCTTGGACTGGGCAAATTATGGGCGCCAAGTCTTGATTTATAGTGTACATCGTGTTTTTAGAAGCACTTGCCAGTGTTAGTTCCTTTTTGTCAATGTACTTACAGTCATACTTATTATCTTGCTTTCATGCAAACTTTTTAACTTTTGTGAATTTTAAGAATATAAACTGGTCGAAATAAGTTAAGGATATTAAAAAGTCAACTAATCCAAAAAAAAATCTGGCGATTTTATAACATAAATTAATGAAGAGCAGTATGTTGAGTATGTTTATAAGGTTTTATTCGAAAAATATATCTGCAACACCACAAGAATTAAAAAGAAAGCAAAATCCTAACACCACCGGGCAAACAGGTAGGCGTAAAATAGCCTTAATCAGGGCCTTAATAATGTGTTACACCACCGCGATTTTGGGCACACTCCTGTACACGTCTGGGCATACTGAGTATCAAGCGATCCAACATCTCTTGATCTAAATTGTCCCATAATATGGGAAGAAGAGGACGCATATCTCTTAAGTGACCAGGAGGTGGTTGGTGCTCAATGAATGCTCGGCCAAGCATATCCCAAGCATGTTCGATAGGGTTAAGATTTGGTGAACGTGCTGGAAGCGGTAAACGTTCAATACCGAGAGTCTGCAGGCGCTGCGTCACACGGCGGGCTCGATGTGGAGTTGCGTTATCATCCAGAAATCGAAAATGGGCAGTAGCGGCTCGTGGTCTTTTCGTTCGGTGAGGCAACAATTTCGTTTCAAAATCAGCAGGTATTAATTAACATGTTGGCAATTACTTTTATTAAAAGACAGATTGTTTATTCGTTTTTATGAAAACAATACAAATAGCTTTGAGTCAGTAACATATCTCTATTCTATACGGGTACACTTCTCGAATAAAAAACATTTAATTGCTTCACACAAACCAACGAGAAGGTTTAAAGACTACAGAATTTGCTTTCTTAGCATTAAATATTAATTCATATGATTTAGGGCTAATTTAAATATATTAATCAATTAATTAATAAAGTTCTCCTCAAATCTGGATGAGAGGTTCTAAATCTTTGACATACAATTGTTCGTCGTAAGAAAACCGTGCTTAAATATTTAAACTTTATAAGAAATTCTGGAGATTATAGATTCTTATGTTGCTATCAGCATTGCAAAACTGACATTTTCATTGTCCTACTATGTTCAAGTTAACTTAAAAGTTTTAATACATAACCTTGTCAATGCACATGCTGTGAACACCTTTCCTTGCGTCTAATTAATGCACAACTAAATGCATTCAGCATCCCTGTTCAGCATTGCGCAGTTTCACCGTGAGATTAAAAAATCCAATCTGATTGGCTTAAGGACGGTAGGCGTTGGTGCCTCCGCTGGCGCTTTGATAAAGCACTGATGACTATTGTCTTACTCAAAAACATATTAGCAGATATCCGTCTATCTGAGGCATGCCTCCGTCTGAAGCTGGCCTACACGGCGGTGATCAGCGCTTATTCTTGTCGAAAGCGCGTACTTCAAAATATGTTACCAAGACGCGTTTTAATAAATCACAGTGTTCCATAAAAGTTATTTGCTATATCTTTAAAATATATTTGAAGTTAACAGATATTAAAACAAAAACTAATAGTCAATTTTTCGAGGGGAGGCACTGCCTCCCCTGCCTCCCCTGACGAGCCGCCACTGAAAATGGGGCTCCAAATTATAGCGATAATTGTCAACAATATCGTCTATAATGTCAGCCTCATAAATTTGGGACGTCATATTGCGTTCGCAAACGTACAGCTCCGTACGACCTCCAAGAAAAATGCCTCCCTATACCATAATTGTTCCCCCTTTAAAGGGATGTACTTCTTGGACATACCGGTCATCAACTCGTCTGCCTGGGGCTCTCCATACTCGAACAGTACGTCGGTCGCTATAAAGACCAATT